AAAACAAAATAAAACATTGTTAAGTTTGTACTAAAAAAATAAATTAATTAATTAATAAAAAATCTCACAATACATTACGCATAAACCAATAAAGAATCAATAATAAATAAATTAAAAAAACAAACAACTAATTTGTTTAAATTCAATTTTTATTAAATTAATCGCATATAGATTGAATGAACAAAGGCAAGGAAGAAGAAGAAGATTGTTAACACATACATCAATCAGCATCATCATCATTATAACAAAATAAAATAATACACATTATATTTATTCTAAAAAAATATAAAAAAAATAAATTAAAAAAATGATTTAAAAATATCACGCTTTTTTGTTTTTGAATTACTTTTATTTAATTTTTTTTCTGAGAAATGTTCGACTTTTTATTAATTGTCAATCTTAAGGAAATTTGTAAAACATTTGGAGTTTTTTTTTTAATTTATAAATTTTGAAAATATTTTTTAAAAAAGTGGCCTCTATATGATAATTATCTGTCATTTTATATGTTGGTTTCTTATTGGGAAGCAACAATCTACCTACCAGAAATTAACAACATTGGTCCAAATTTTGGTACGGCTCTCATATAAGGATACCTCCCGAATTTCAGTAATACGAGGAGATTGAACAACTTTTTTTTGCTCAAATTGGCTATAATTTCATATTTTGAAATATTATTGGGTAGAAAAAGTCCCTACTAAAAATTATCAACATTGACCCATGATTCAGGGTAGACCCTATATAACGGCACACCTCAATTTTCGGTCTTAAATATGGAATTTGGTATATGGAATTGGCTGTAGTTGACATATGTAGAGTTCTCATTGGTGTCAAATCTCCAAATCAAAAATTATCTCTATTGCCCCACTTTTTAGGGTAGCCACCGTATAACGATACCACTCGAATATAAAGGTATTGGGGAGATTAGCCATGTTTTTTCCACCAAAATTACTCTAATTTTATATTTTGGATTCCCAATGGGTAGAAAACCTCCCCACCGAAAATTATCAATATTGGTCGAAGTTTCAGGGTAGACCCCATATAACCGTATCCCTCAATTTTCGATGTTATACGAATATGGGACAAGGCTTTAAACGGATTTTGTGTAATTACATATGTTGGGTGTCAAATCTCCTCATCAAAAATTATGCCTATTGCCTCACATTTTCGGGAAGCCATCGTATACCGTTACAACCCGAATATGAGGGTATCGGGGAGATTGGGCATGTTATTCTACCAAAATGACTGAAATTTAATATTTTGAATTCCCAATGGCTGTTATCCCCACCAAAAATTATGAATCCTGGTCCAAGTTTCGTGGTAGTCCCCACATAAAGGTACCGCCAATTTTCGTTATTTTGGGTAAGAGTTGGCGCTAATTAAATATTTTGGTTTACTAAAAATTATCTATATTGGCCCACATTTTAGGGTAGCCACCATATACCGGTACCTTGCGGATTTCAGAGAAGATAGGTCAGTTTTTTTTACCTAGATTGGCTGTAATTGAATATTTTGGATTCACATTGGGTAGAAAATCTCCTTACCAAAAATTATCAATATGGGTCCAAGTTTCGTGGTAGCCCCCATTTATCGGTACCCCCGATTTTTGGTATTTTGGGCAAGAATTTCATCCGAATTGACTTAAATTTCAAATGTCAGGTTCTCATTGAGTCATAAATTCGATTACTAAAAATCATCGATATTGATCCACATTTTAGGGTAGCCATCATATACCGATAACTTGCGGATTTCTGTAATATGAGGAGATGGCCAGTTTTTTCACCTAAATTGGCTCGTAAATTTATATTTTGGTTTTTCGAAATTTTGAGGAGTTTCGGTAAAATTTTCATCCAAATAACATGCAATTTTATATTTTGGATTATTATTGTTTAAAAAATGTCCCTACCAAAAATTATCAATATTGGCCCAAGTTCCAGGGTAGCTCCCATATAGTATGTGTTATTTTTTGAATGTTTATTTGTGACACATGTGTGACACACACAATGCATGAAGAAAATCAAAATAGTTTTGATTTTGAAAATGAAACCCTTTCAATCTGGTGAATTTTATTCATTTTCAAAGTTGACAGTAAATAATTTTGAGTATACAAATAATAAAATTGTGACGAAATAAAAAAGAACTGAATCTACGATTCAAAATGTGATTTTTTTTTTTTTTGGACAAAAATCGATTTTTTGGAATAGTGATTGAAGAGTTTGCCATACACTAGTCAATCTCACATATACAAAAAGGGGTTCATCGGCATAACGGCATGATGTGTACTGTATGGGGCCCTTAAGATGTTCGACACGACCAAACGTAACAACGTTTTTACTTGGTTTCCATTACTTAAAAATCGTTCTTGTATTTCTTTTAACAATTTTTTTTTTGAATTGCATTTTTGGTTCCTTAAAACACAATTCACTTTCATCAAAACAACAACAAAAATCCTGCATTCATTCAACACTCTCCTCAGACACCTTCACATTTTTACATTCACCCAACACCACTTGGCTACTAAAATACACCAACAAATTTATATAATGACATTAGAAACTATTACATTATAACACAACAACAAAAAGAACAACACAATACATTTTTTCTACACTCTTGTCAATTTTGTTATAAACAAATTTATTATTATTCTTAAACAAAAACCAAACCACAAACAACAACTATGAAAACAAAATGAAATTATCTTTTTATCAGCAGCAAAATAACCAGAGAAAAAGGCGAAACAATTCCCCCTTTTACCAACCAAAAAAAAAAAAAACAATTTTCTTATAAAAAATAACAAAAAAAAAAAAAAATCCAAAAACCAAACAAAAAAAAACTACTCCCAAATTTACTACAAGAAACACCCAACACCACAACAAGAAGAAAAACAAATGAAAAAAAACGTTACCAAATAAACCAAGAAAAATAAAATAATAAATAATGATGATGATATTTCATATGGAGAAATAAATAAATAATAACAAAGAAGATGATGAAGAAGAAAAACACAATAAAAATTTAAAAATATTACAAAAAAAAAAATAAACTCTTGTATGGTGTTTAAATTTTTTTCTATAGGGAAGGGTACATAACCTTGTGACAGAAGGTTTGATCCATAAGCCGAGCTTAAAAAAAGATTTGTGAGCAGCTCTTCCAATTTGAGAAACGTTGTCTTCTATTTGATCTTTCCATCGGATTTATGGTCTTTCCCTTCAACGTGAACCATCAGCTGATTCGCTTTTATATGCCTTTTGAACTGGGGCATCCTCATCCATTCTCACAACATGACCTAGCTAACGTAGTGTTTGCAGCTCTATACGTCTGACTATGCGATGTCCGAGAATAGATGGTATAATTCATGGTTCATTCGACGGCGATATTCGCTGTGGACATAGATTGGCCCATAAATCTTACGGAGAATTTTTCTCTCAAACACTCCAAGAGCTGCCTCATCTGCTTGCGGAAGTACCCATGCTTCAGATCCATACAACAGCACGGGTTGTTGTTGTAGCAGTTAATATGAATGTTGTTTTCCTGTTTACAAGTAGTATCACCGTCTTGCAAAGGGTGAGATTGGTCTGGCGGGAGGTGGCTTTGTTTCTAAACTGCTTACTAAGACTATAGTAGCATCTGTTCGCCATCACAATCCTTCTCCGAATTTCATAACTGATGTTATTCATTTTGTTGTAGCGGTACCGAGATACATAAAATCGTTCACTACCTCGAAGTTCCTCAGTTGGTCCGAGTCTACTGGACGTCTTGCGTGTTGATACCATCAGCATGGTCTTCTCGCTATTTACTACCAGTTCCACATTGACAGACTCTTTCTCAATTCGTTCAAAGGTTGGTGTTACCGTTCGCAATGTTCGACCCATTATGTCGATAACGTCGGCGTATGTTTTGTAACATATGATGTTTGGTATACAGAGTGTCATTTCTGTTCACATTTGCATCTCGTATGACCTTTTCCAGCAGGATGTTAAACAGGTCACACGACAAACTGTCACCTTGTCTGCAACCTTGTTCGGTGTTGAGCGGCTCCAAGAGGTCCTTTTCGACTTTAACTGCTGATCATGTGTCAGTTAAAGTTATTCTGCATAGCCGTATTAATTTTGCAGGAGTGTCGAGCGCATACATGGCTTTATATACCTCTGAACGGATAGGGCTGTCGAATGCGGCTTTGTAGTCGACGAATAGGTGGAATGTGTCGATGTGTTTTTCGTGGGGTTTTCCAGGATTTGGCGCAGAGTGAAAATCTGGTCAATGGTGGATTTGCCATGTCTGAAACCGCAATGGTATGGTGCAATAATATCATTGACCATTGGCTTCAGTCGTTCACACAGCATGCAGGATATATACGATGGGAACTCCTTAATAGTTGGCACATATCTCTCATGGCTCCTTTTTTGTGCACGGAACACAGGTTGCTGAGGTTCTGAGGCTGGACATGCATTCTCTAACCAAATTGTACTATTCAACTGGTGAATGCTCCTAACCAAATTGTAATACAAATTGATAATCCATCGGTACCTACTGCTTTATTGTTCTTCAGCCGATTAATTGCTATTCAGACCTCATATTGACTCGGTGGTATACACTCTATACCGTCATTTCTTATTGGTTCTAAGATATCTTCTTCACCGCCACTAATTGATACAAGAAGCTTTGCAAAATGTTCCTTCCAGATCCTCAACACGCTGTGTCACCAGGTTTCTTCATCTCTACAGGAGGATGTGCCTGTACCAAAGCCGTCGGTAAAAAAATTAAACTTGTTCGTTGTGTGTTATTTTTTCATAAGAAATATACATTAGAAGTCTTCACAATGGACGCTTCTTCTTCAATAAAAAACATTTAAATTATCGGACAATATAAAAAATAATAATAATTTACTTTTATTTAAATAATTTCTACGTTGTTTCCAGTTATACGCTAGACTTTTATGTGCATTTTCACAATTAGGAAATCAATTAAAATATAGTCCATCTCTCTTCTCCTCCTTGGGATTATTGTATAGTTCTGGTAACAGAATCGAATGCTTCATTCTTATGATCGCTGACATTGGGCCGGGCTTCATAACTGCAAATTGTAACACCATGATGATGCGCCTCACTGAATTCACCACGAAGTCCTAGCAAATAAAAAAATGTAATTAAATTGAAAATACAAAAACAAAAAAGCAAACAAAAAAATACTTACCAATATAATAAATTTTCGTATTATCATCACCAAAATTGGATGGGAAATGGATCGATAAATGATGGACAGATGAAAATGTAACAACTCTGTAAAGGGAAGAATAAACAAAATATCAATTAAATATTCCGACATATTACAGTTTATGAAAATAATGTAGAATGTGTCTTTGCAATTTGCGAAAAATCGGTGTGCATAACTTACTTTGGAGAATATTCAACTTCACCGCGGCAATCACGTGTCAATTCGAATTCCTGATCTGCTTTAGCTTGGGCATCATCAAATGTCATTTTTGGGCGATTTTTGAATCTAGAAAAGAAATGATAAATTATTAACAAGTAATAGGGTGGGGGTATAAAAAATTAGGTTGGGGAAAAATAAATTTTTTTTTACGAACTATATGACTTTATTTAACATGTTCGCAAGGTCCGAATATGCACCGTGTTGCTATTTTAAAGGTAACTTCATAATGCCATAGAAGTCCTGATCTCTATTTGCAAAAACTCTAGTAGTCGATTTTCACAATCCTTCCTAGATACCGATTTTTTATCATTAAAAAAATTTTGCAATGCAAGATAAGAGGTACCAGAAGAGGTTGCTCTATAGAATACATGTTTGATCGTCAAACTTAATCTAGGTTTTTTTTAAAATGTATACGATTTTCAAAGTTTGAATCAAATCAGATATTCCATTCGTTCGGAATTGAATTGATAACATTTTGTGGGGGTGGTACCAGAACGAATGGACCGACGGGTTCCATCATCGGAATTGATATAGCCAAGTTAAAAATATTATGATATGCAAAGTTAGAATCAATTCGCTTACAGCTCGATACATCTAACTATGTCGATGTCCGAGAATAGATGGTACAACTCATGCTACATTCGACGGCGATATTCGCCGTCGAAGCAAATCGGCCCATAGATCTTTCAAAGAATTTTTCTCTCAAACACTCCAATTGCTGCCTCATCTGCTTGTGCAAGTACCCATGCTTCAGATCCATGCAACAACACGGGTAGTATACGCGTCTTGTAGAGTGAGAGTTTAGAATTGCTTACTCAGACCATAGTAGCATTTGTTGGCCAACACTTTCCTTCTCCGTACCTCAAAACTGATGTTATTAGTTTATGGCGATACCGAATTATATAAAATCGTTCGCCACATCGAAACTGTAGTTTTCAAGTTCCACACTTGGTCCGAGTCTACAGGACGTCTTGCGCGTTGATAACATCAGCATGGTCTTTTTGCTATTTACTGCCAGTTCCACTTTGGCAGACAATCTCTCAATTCGTCCAAAGGTGGGTGTATCCGCTCGCAATGTTCGACCCATTTTGTCGATGACGTCGGCGTAGGATGTTAAAATGGTCACACGACAAACTTTCACATTGTCGGAATCCTCGTTCGGTATTGAAGAGATTTCCTTTCCGAATTTAACTGCTGACCTTGTTCCAGTTAAAATTATCTTTCATAGCCGTATTAATTTTGCAGGGGTGCCGAGCGCAGATATGCCTTTAAATACCTCTGAGCAGATTGGACTGTTGAATGTAGCTTTATAGTCGAAGAATAGGTGAAATATGTCGATGTGTTTTTCGTGGGACTTTTCATAACGTCATTGACCATTGGCATCAGTCGTTCACACAGCACACTGGATAGCACTTTATATGCGATGGGAAGGAGACATATTCCTCTATAGCTGGCACATATCGTCTTGTCTCCTTTTTTGTGCATGGGACACAGGATGCTGAGGTTCCAATCATTGGACATGCATTCCTCCAGCCAAATTGTACTAATCAGTTGGTGCATGCTCCTGATCAGTGTCTGACCACCGGCCTAGAATAGTTCGGCTGGTAATCCGTCTTCTTTTGCTGCTTTATTATTTGTCAGTCGATTTATTGCTATCCTGACCTCATCTTGGCCAGGTGGTATACAATATATACGCTCACGTTTTCCTTGTTCTTTCTTCCTTTTTTTCTCTAGCATTATTGTTAGTTTTTTTTAAACATCGTTATAAGGAGGACCTTAAGCACTGTGGCCAACATTTCAAAATAATCCACTACCGTATTATTTTAACATCACATAATTTCGTAATCTAACTCATTTCTTCCATTACTTACAGTCTCATTTTATTCGGATGTGAATCATCATTGGCTCCAGCCACAATAATACCCTTCAGTTTAATGTTCCCAGTAAAGGGTATGTTGAACAGCAATTCCTCATCACAATCACTTTTGACGAACTGCAAAATTTGCAAAACAAATTTATTCAGATTTCTAAATTCAAAAATATCACAAAACTAACCTTTGTCACATCCAAGCGCTCCTCATAGGGTTTGAAGACCTTCTTGCCATCCCCATCGGATTCCTCATTCAGACATTCCAAATTTTCCATATCAATTTTTTGATACAGACTATATTCGATGCCCATTTCAAGGGCATGATCGACATCGGTGGCTTCGTGGCCACAACCATGGCCATGAGTATGGGAATGACCGGGCATTTTTTTGCTGCTATTCGGCGGCGTTGTAAACAAATACAAAAATTCCAGAACACAGAACACTAAAAAGCCTCTTTTGGCAAATACGAATATGAGAAGTTGAAAATGGATGATAATGAAGAAAAACTAAATAAAAAAACACCGGTTCTCTTTGCAAATAATCAGCTGTTTCTCTTTATTGTGAATAGTTCAACGGCGATTAGTGGATAACGTAACGTATGTTTTGCTGTTTGCATGTAATGGGAACGGTCGCTGAACAGCTGATTTGTTATGGCGTCGGTTCGTTAGTAGATTGTGAAATAATGGCGCGTTTAAATGCGAGGACCGGAAAAATCGTTTGAAATAATAGAAATAAAGTGTTTTGTCGGGTGAAATGTAGAACTATTCGAAATCAAAGTGACGGGTGTCGGTAAAAATGTGTTTTCGTTGAAAAAAAAATGGAATAATATGTCGAAAAAATTCAAATATGAAAATTCACCATTGCCTTTTGTCAAAAAGGGGGGCTGTGGCCGGCTTATGTGCAAATGGAAAGAAATTCATATTGGAAAAAAGAAAATAACAACAACATCGTTGATGAAGTACAAATGATAGGTCCACATTTATGGAATTTGCAAAACTACATCTTCAAATCTCCTATAGCTTCTGGATTAATGCCTTTGTCTGTTGATTAGAGAAAGGTGTAGCTCCTATAGCTTCCCATTGCGTTTTATAATAGTGTTCGGTGAAGATCACGCGTCGCAGTAATGACATGCAGTTCCACTCATGTTGTCCCTTATGATGGGTCCCCCGGAAATAAACTTATGCCGTTCTATATTGGGGATCCCAAATTTATCTTAAGGAAAATCCCGACAAAGGTGAGTATTTGAAACTAACCTGCAATTTTTTATACATATGATCATAGAACTAACACTTTTTTTATTTCAGCCGGTTAAAGTTAATGGCCCCTGAAACGCTTCGGAGAAAATTCCTATTGGAATACAAAAAATGATAACTTCATAGGTGATGGTCAATTTGTAAATTTTATGTCTCCCCAAATATATGCAATTTATAACAACCCATATTTCAACAGATGTTCTCTCCAACTGTTTCCCTCCCAAAAGCGTATATTGGGAAAGCATTTTAAATTCGTATTATATTCGTACTCGTTAAAGGCTTCGCGATCGGTATAGACTTCGTGCGCGGCAAAGTCTTCGTGTTCGGTAAAGTTTTTGTGTTCGGCAAAGTTTTCGTTTACGGTTAACCTTTCGTGTTCTACTCAAGTTGCCCTTTATGTTGCGTCCCATGCAAAAAAATACAGCAATGTTGGCCATATATTTTAACTTTCAATCCAATCGGATTCTATCGTAGTAATCCCCCTTTTTTAAGAAAAAGCGCCACCAAGGTGAGATTTTGGATACAAACTAAAATTTTGAATTTAATTATAGATCTAAAATTTGTTTTTTTTTTATTTATTTTAGACAATCGGATGGAAAGGATGGAAATTCATATTGGATAGATAAATTGTGATTAATAAATTGTAAATTGTGTGGCTCAAATTTATGCACTTTCCAATAACCCATATTCCAAGGGATCTCTCCAATTGCTTCCCACAGCTACCATGAATCCCACCCTGAATTATTGGGAAAACATATGTCCGATATATGTTATTAATTTCAATGGAATTGATTGGAGTGGTGATATAGGGAATCCCAAATTTGTCTACGGCAAATCACTACAAACGTGAGTATTAAAGTCTAAAAATTTGAATCGTATTTATAAAAATTGATTTTTATTTTAGAAACTTTAGACGAGTGGGCTATAATAAACGTAGCCCAGCCGCTTTCAAAACGGAAGAAAATTCTTATTAGAATAAAAAATTACAACTTCGCAATTGATAAATTGTATGAATCCATCTCTCGAATGGCATCCCACAGTAATCCTGAAACACATTAGAGCCTATTGGGAAAACATTTTAAATTCGAAGTATAATCGTGTTCATTAAATATTTCTTTTTAATTTAGAAATTTTATAAGACTAGAATATGGTAATGTCCCTATAAAAAAACCAGCCCAAGGACTTGCGAAATTAAAAAATGAACTCATATTGGAAAAGTTAATATAAATACAAATGTCTATGTGAATCGAAAAAGATAATTGTTCAACATTTTCTTTTTAATTTAGAAATTTTATAAGACTAGAATAGAATCTATCCAATTTCATTTCCAAAGAATCTATCCAATGACGGCCCATAGTAACAATGAAATACATTCAGGTCTATTGGAAAATTTAATTGCGTATTGTAATTGTGTACGGCATAGTCTTCGCGTTCAGTATAGACTTCGCGTTCGGTTAAGTGTATGCGTTCCGTAAATTCCTCACTTCTCAAAGCGTTATTTAAATTGGGTCCAAGAAGAAATTTATCCAATGGCTTTCAAAACCAATTAAAGTCTATTGAAAAAACATTTTAAATACGTGCTGTAGTCGTGTACAGAAAAGTCTTCATGTTCGGTATAGTGTATGCTTTCGGTAAATATCTCGCTTTCTTCCCATGACATTCATTACATTGGGTCCAAGAAGAAAAAAGTTAACAATTTTGGACACATGTTGTACATTTCAATCGAATCGAGGGTTGTTCTATATGAAAAACACAACATTTGTCTTAAGGAAAGGCGCTACAAAGGTGAGTTTTTAATCTAACCTAAAAATTTTCATTTAATCATAATTCGATTTTTTGTTTTTATTTAGAAATGTTAGAAGTCTGGTAAAATGCACTTCAACTCTTTCTCTAAATTGGATAAGTAATTTTAATATCCAATGGAATTGTCTGGGAAACTTTGCAAAATCATATAATCAAAATGGTAAGTTTTACTAAAAATTAATTTTGTAATATACACCATAAGGTTGAATGTATATTAAATCTGTCATTTCGCAACAATATATATATACATATTGCTATTTTGGTATAGCCACTATATAAAAATAAACTCCAATATTTGGCACTTCGGAAATTTTTAGATTTTCATTCAATAGGCGTGGATTTTCTTAAGCACTTTTTTCCAACATATTTAAGAGCCTTGATTTGTTTCTAAATAAGTTTGTCCAAAACATTAAAGATTCGTGTTTTTTTAAGATTAGAATTGTTTAATTTGTTTGAATTGGTATCGTTTGCCTAGTTTTGTTTATCTTTGTTGTATTAGTTCGGCTGTAGGCTTTTTAAAAGTAAAAATCGTTTCTAATTTTGATTTTTAATGTTTATTGTTTCCAATATTTCGATTGGATTCTCCAATCATCCTCAGGGAACTACAATTACATATATTTTAACAGATTTTGAAACATGTCCGTCCGTCCGTCTGTCTGACAATAACAATATGTAAATAAACTTACTTGAAGAAAGTTATGTTGTCTTTAAGTCAACGTTCTTACTTCAACTAAAGTCTACCAGATTTGTATTTGTTTACTGTGTGTCTATAGATTTGAGCGCAGTTGTCTGTGTCGGTTTTATAATTGAGTCGAGTGTCAATATATTGATTATGTGCAACATCTCAAGAGTAAACCTTTTTTGATAATTACTTTCTTGAGTTAGAATTTTTATGTCATTAAAATCTGGGGTATGTCCTGTTTTTGTGCAGTGTGCTGCAAGGGCTGTTTTTTGCTCTATGGGTTTGTACAGAGCTTTTTGATCCGATATATATATGCGTATATATATTGTCTTTAATTTAGTCTTAGTAGTACCTTTTGGCATACGTTGGACTTGTCTCCCGCATTTAATGCGGTATACTACGTTGGATTTCTCCTCGTCTTGTATTTTACTGAAAAGATTATTCAGCGTGTTCGTAGTTTTAAATGCCAGCTCAATTGTTGTGATGTCGTAAATGTTAGAATGTTTTAATCTTTCTGAAAACCCACGTGTATATGTCATAGTTTTGTAAATTTTCTCGCTGTTGTCGCTTGTTTTCTTTGTCTTTGTCTTTTCTTTTCTTGCTCGTATCATGAGATTGTCAATAGTTTTGTCCGGAAAATCATTTTTCTTCAGGATCTTCTTAATTATATTAATGTTTTTGTTGTGATAGTCTGGATGGCTTATGTCTAAAACCCTATTTATGAAATTGGATGCAGTGTTGATTATTGTTCTTCTCGGATGTCTAGATGTAAAGTTAATCAGTCGTCCCGACGCTGTAGGTTTCTGGTACCAGTCAAGTTTGAGATGGGGTCCTTTTCGTATCACTAGTGGTACTTTCAACACAAAGTGTCAACATTTTGAACAATTTTTGGATTATCATTAAGTAGTAAATCTATCTACCAAAAATGATAAATTTTGGTCCATTTTTTAGGGTAGCCCTCATATAATAATATTCGGTATTCTGTAGATTTTGGGCACGTTTTCCAACCAAATTTAATTTGGTACTTTTAGTTCTTATTGGGTAGCAAATTCTGCTACCAAATATAACCCATATTGATCCAGATTTTAGGGGTAGTCCCCAGTCGGCATTTGATAAGATTGGGTACGCTTTTATAACTATTAAATCTATAAAATCTACCTAAATAAATTAATATTAGCCCAAGTTTTAAGGTAGCCGCTATATAGTGATATCCCTTATTATTCAATATCGCTTCACTTTTTATTATAAGTCCCAAATATCCGTTTTTATTGTATTATCAAAATCAATTGAAATGAAAACACAATTATAATTTTATTTCACTATTTTTATTGTTGTTGTTGTTCTTGTTACTTTATTTTTCTTTAACAAATTTTCAGAATGTGGAATTTTATTTGATGTTGTTTATTTTAATTTGTTTCATCAAGGTTTTTTAATTCCTTTTCTGATTATTTCACTTCTTCGATATACTTTTTTTAGTTGCGGATACAAAAATTCTTAATAGCTTAAATTCACATAATTTAATTTGCGATTACTTTCATTTTCATTTGCTTTCTATATTTTTATACTTACGACCTTTAAGGTTATAATTTTTGCTTTTTTTTGAGACTGTCATTATGTTTTGGAACAATGAAATTGCGGTGGTATGGCAGCATTATCGACATACTTATAGACATCCATGGAAGCCTCACATACCGTTTGTGGTATACCATGTCTAGAATAATGCTGAGATACATCTCAATATCATTGTTCTTTGTATTTTTCTTTTTAGTTTTTTGTTTTCTCTAAATTATGGCTGGATTAGATAGATATTTTTTTGGAATAGTTGTTGTAGGATTTCATTTTTTTTTAGTTTTTTTCTAAAGATATGTGCAAATACACACACACACAATGATCGTTTACAATGAAATTAATTGATCGAAATGGAAAATGATTTATAAATTTCCATGATTTTATTTTTTTATGGTTCGTAAGGAGAGATTACGGCCCCTATCAATTTCTGTGTTTTGAAGCAGAAGCGTGGAGGTTTCTGGGATATTTTCCAGAAAAATGTGTAGGGTTTTAGAATATTTTCTCAAAAAAGCTTTCGCAAGGTATATCAAGTCAAAAAAAGCTAAGAGTTTTTAGAATGCAGACAGGCCAAAGAAGCGTGAGGACAGTAGCAACACGTAATGTGATGGAGAAAAAAAGGAAGAATAAGAAAAACGTGAGCGTGAGCAAATCGAGATGTACAGGAGTCAGAATGAAGTCCGAAAATTCTACAAACGGGTAAAAGACCAAACCGAAGGCTTTTGTGCTGGCATATCCTCCTGTAGAGATGAAGAAGGAAATCTGGTGACAGATGCAGACAGCATGCTGATCATCTGGAAGGAGCATTTTGAAAAACTTCTGGTATCAAATAGTAGCAGTGAAGAGGATACCCCAGAACCAATAATAGATGACGGTATAGAGTGTATACCACCTACCCAAGATGAAGTCAAAATATCAGCAGCAGGTGCCGATGGGTTACAAGCCGAACTATTCAAGACTGGTGGCCAGATGCTGGTAAGGAGCATGTACCAGCTGATTAGAACAGTTTGGCTAGAAGAATGCTTGCTTGATTGGAACCTCAACATCCTGTGTCCCGTGCACAAAAAAGGAGACAAGACGATATGTGCCAACTATAGAGAAATTAGCCTTCTTCCCATCGCATATAAAGTGCTATCCAGTGTGCTGTGTGAACAATTGAACCCAATGGTCAATGACATTATTGGACCATACCAATGCGGCTTCAGCCCTGGCAAATCCACCATTGGCCAGATTTTCACTCTGCGCCAAATCCTGGAAAAAAACCCATGAAAAACACATTGACATATTCTACCTATTCGTCCACTATAAAGCCGCACTCGACATCCCTATCCGTTCAGAGGTGTATGAAGCCATGTCTGCGTTTGCCATTCTTGCAAAATTAATTCGGCTATGCAGGATAACTTAAACAAGCACAAGATCAGCAGTTAAAGTCGGAAAGGACCTCTCGGAGCCCTTTAATACGAGGATTCAGACAAGGTGATAGTTTGTCGTGTGACCTTTTTAACATCCTGCTGGAAAAGGTCATACGACACGAAAAGGTGAACAGAAATTACACTCTGTACACCAAACAACAATGTTACTCGCTTACGCCGATGACATCGACATAATGAGTCGAACATTGAGAGTGGTAACAGCCACCTTTGAACAAATTGAGAAGAAGTCTCCAAAGTGGGCATATAAAAGCAAACCAGCTGGTGGTTCACGCAGAAGGGGAAGGCCACGAATACTATGGAAAGATCAATTCGAAGACAACATTGCCGAATAAGGTCTTTAAAATTGGAAAAACTGCGCAAACGAAAGTTCTGTCACATTTTAGAATATTTTCCCAAGGATCAACAGACAAAAAATGGATTTTTTAAAGAATATTTTCTTTAAGAATGCACGGAATATTTTCTAAAGGATTGGCAGATCAAAAGAATAAATATTACCTAAAAAGCTTTCTCAAGAACCACCGGTTCAAGTTGTGAGGATGTTTCAAGTATATTTTCTTAAGGATGCACGGAATATTTTCTAAATGACTGGCAGATCAAAAGAGTAAATATTACCTAAAAAAACTTTCTTAAGAACCACCGGTTCAAGTAGTGAGGATGTTTCAAGAATATTTTCTCAAAAACCACCCGAATTTCTAAAAATTTGGGAAAAAATAAATCTATAAAAATCTACGCCTCTTGGGTGTTCTTAAAAATATATTTATAAAAATCTACGCCTCTTGGGTGTTCTTAAAAATATATTTATAAAAATCCACGCCTCTTGGGTGTTCTTAAAAATATATTTATAAAAATCCACGCCTCTTGGGTGTTCTTAAAAATATATTTATAAAAATCCACGCCTCTTGGGTGTTCTTAAAAATATATTTATAAAAATCTACGCCTCTTGGGTGTCTTTAATAATCCACGCCTCTTGTGTGTCTATAATAATCCACGCATCTTGGGTGTTTTTAATAATCCACGCCTCTTGGGTGTTCTTAAAAATATATTTAAAATAGTCACGCCTCTTGGGTGTCTTGGAAAAAAATATTTTAAAAAAATCCATGACTCTTAAATGATTTGGATAAAATTATTTAAAAATATTCACGTCTCTTAAATGACTTGGAAAAAATTATTTTAACAAATCCACGCCTTTGAAATGACCTGAAAAACATTATTTAAAAAATCCACGCCTCTTTAACGACTTGGGAATAAATTTTTGAAAAAAATCCATGACTCTTTAATGACGTGAAAAAAAATTATTTATTTAAAAACTCTACACATCTTGGATGTCTTAAACAAAATTAAAAAAAATCCTCCCCTCTTGGTTTTCTTTGAAAAAATTATTTTAAAAAATCCACTCATCTTGGATGACTTGAAAACAAATATCTAAAAAAAATCAAATCAAATTTCCACGACCAATTAATTTTCACGTAAAACAACCTACAAGGGAATGGATTGATTGATACATATATTTGTTTTTCTTTTGGGGTTTCTGATTTGTTTTCATTGTTTTATTCGTTTTTATTTCAGAATATTTATTTCATTTTGTTTTTTTGTTGGTTTTCTAAATCTAAAAAAAATTATTGAAAATAATAATAAACCTAATTAATGTTTTCACATTGTCACATTTTAAAATCTACACAAAAAATTAACATTAAATATATTTATATATAATATATATATATATGTATAATAATATTTTTATGTATGTATACGTATTGGTTTCGTGTTTTTGTTTGTTTTGTGTTTCACTTAAAAATGCATACAATTATTAAAATAATCTCTAAACTATACACAAAAAAAGCTTGAAGCCTTCTAACAATCTCTCCATTTATATTGAGTTGGGGTTTTTTAAATGAGTTTTCTTGTATTTTTATTTTCATTTTTTGTTTTCATAAAAAAATATAATCAAATTATATTAATATGTATTTCTTTATTTATTTATGTATGTTGATCATCATCATCTGCTTTGTTTTTTTTTTTCTACTCTATTGAAAAAAGGATATTTTTTGGAAATTTAATTTTTTATTTCTTTTCAAAAAAATTCACTCTATTTTATTTGGGTTACTTGTTTGGGTTTTTTTTTTATATTTTATCAAAATGGTTAAGGGATTTTTTTTTCAAATTTCCAATTTTCATTTTTTGAATTTTTCAAACTTAGACTTCCTATTCACCTCCTATTCTCACTTCATTGGCTGGCTGGGTGGCTGTCTGATTTCTCTGCTCCTGCATTTATTTGGGTAATTCATAAAATTGGACGGGAAGCGCCTTGGGCGTTATAATTTCATCATCAAAATCTTCATCGTGTATGGAATAATCACCACCGCCGCCACCTCCTCCACCGCCACCATTACCGCCACTCTGTTCAAATTCATTGGGTACAATTTCAACATCGGTGGGTGTGCCCAGTGTAGATGAACGTCCATTATTGCCACCGGCATAATTTGTCCGTGACTTGTGTTTGATGACATATTCGCGCAGCAAATGTGAATAGAGGATATCGTCGATATAGAACATTGTGCCCAAATTATAAACGAACACTTCACTTTCGATTATTTTGGCATTATTAACACTCGTTGCATTGCTACCGGGATTTCGGGTAATTTTAATGTGACCACCACCTATCGTCTCGAACACTTCGTTATCCTTTAGATCACGATTGTACAAACGTCCTTTGACAAAGTGATTCAATAGCATTTTGACACCTCGTTGTGATGCCTAAAGAGAGAAGAAAAAAATTAAAATGTCTTAAAAAAAATTATTTTAAAAATCATTAAACAAATCCACGCCTCTTCGATGTCTTGAAAAAAATTATTTAAAAAATCATTAAAAAAAATCCACGCCTCTTCGATGTCTTGAAAAAAATTATTTAAAAAATCATTAAAAAAAAAAATCCACGCCTCTTCGATGTCTTGAAAAAAATTATTTAAAAAATCATTTAAAAAATCCACGCCTCTTGGTTGACTTGGAAAAAATTATTTAAAAAATCCACGCCTCTTGGTTGACTTGGAAAAAATTATTTAAAAAATCCACGCCTCTTGGTTGACTTGGAAAAAATTATTTAAAAAATCCACGCCTCTTGGTTGACTTGGAAAAAATTATTTAAAAAATCCACGCCTCTTGGTTGACTTGGAAAAAATTATTTAAAAAATCCACGCCTCTTGGTTGACTTGGAAAAAAATTATTTAAAAAATCCACGCCTCTTGGTTGACTTGGAAAAAATTATTTAAAAAATCCACGCCTCTTGGTTGACTTGGAAAAAATTATTTAAAAAATCCACGCCTCTTGGTTGACTTGGAAAAAATTATTTAAAAAATCCACGCCTCTTGGTTGACTTGGAAAAAATTATTTAAAAAATCCACGCCTCTTGGTTGACTTGGAAAAAATTATTTAAAAAATCCACGCCTCTTGGTTGACTTGGAAAAAATTATTTAAAAAATCCACGCCTCTTGGTTGACTTGGAAAAAATTATTTAAAAAATCCACGCCTCTTGGTTGACTTGGAAAAAATTATTTAAAAAATCCACGCCTCTTGGTTGACTTGGAAAAAATTATTTAAAAAATCCACGCCTCTTGGTTGACTTGGAAAAAATTATTTAAAAAATCCACGCCTCTTGGTTGACTTGGAAAAAATTATTTAAAAAATCCACGCCTCTTGGTTGACTTGGAAAAAATTATTTAAAAAATCCACGCCTCTTGGTTGACTTGGAAAAAATTATTTAAAAAATCCACGCCTCTTGGTTGACTTGGAAAAAATTATTTAAAAAATCCACGCCTCTTGGTTGACTTGGACTTGGAAAAAATTATTTAAAAAATCCACGCCTCTTGGTTGACTTGGAAAAAATTATTTAAAAAATCCACGCCTCTTGGTTGACTTGGAAAAAATTATTTAAAAAATCCACGCCTCTTGGTTGACTTGGAAAAAATTATTTAAAAAATCCACGCCTCTTGGTTGACTTGGAAAAAATTATTTAAAAAATCCACGCCTCTTGGTTGACTTGGAAAAAATTATTTAAAAAATCCACGCCTCTTGGTTGACTTGGAAAAAATTATTTAAAAAATCCACGCCTCTTGGTTGACTTGGAAAAAATTATTTAAAAAATCCACGCCTCTTGGTTGACTTGGAAAAAATTATTTAAAAAATCCACGCCTCTTGGTTGACTTGGAAAAAATTATTTAAAAAATCCACGCCTCTTGGTTGACTTGGAAAAAATTATTTAAAAAATCCACGCCTCTTGGTTGACTTGGAAAAAATTATTTAAAAAATCCACGCCTCTTGGTTGACTTGGAAAAAATTATTTAAAAAATCCACGCCTCTTGGTTGACTTGGAAAAAATTATTTAAAAAATCCACGCCTCTTGGTTGACTTGGAAAAAATTATTTAAAAAATCCACGCCTCTTGGTTGACTTGGAAAAAATTATTTAAAAAATCCACGCCTCTTGGTTGACTTGGAAAAAATTATTTAAAAAATCCACGCCTCTTGGTTGACTTGGAAAAAATTATTTAAAAAATCCACGCCTCTTGGTTGACTTGGAAAAAATTATTTAAAAAATCCACGCCTCTTGGTTGACTTGGAAAAAATTATTTAAAAAATCCACGCCTCTTGGTTGACTTGGAAAAAATTATTTAAAAAATCCACGCCTCTTGGTTGACTTGGAAAAAATTATTTAAAAAATCCACGCCTCTTGGTTGACTTGGAAAAAATTATTTAAAAAATCCACGCCTCTTGGTTGACTTGGAAAAAATTATTTAAAAAATCCACGCCTCTTGGTTGACTTGGAAAAAATTATTTAAAAAATCCACGCCTCTTGGTTGACTTGGAAAAAATTATTTAAAAAATCCACGCCTCTTGGTTGACTTGGAAAAAATTATTTAAAAAATCCACGCCTCTTGGTTGACTTGGAAAAAATTATTTAAAAAATCCACGCCTCTTGGTTGACTTGGAAAAAATTATTTAAAAAATCCACGCCTCTTGGTTGACTTGGAAAAAATTATTTAAAAAATCCACGCCTCTTGGTTGACTTGGAAAAAATTATTTAAAAAATCCACGCCTCTTGGTTGACTTGGAAAAAATTATTTAAAAAATCCACGCCTCTTGGTTGACTTGGAAAAAATTATTTAAAAAATCCACGCCTCTTGGTTGACTTGGAAAAAAATATTTTAAAAATCCACGCCTCTTGGATGTCCTCTAAGACCACCGAGGGGTCCTAGAGTTCCCTCTAAGGGTCATAGCGGTTCTTAGAAGCCCTTTAGTAATTTATGAAGACTGTCTGAGGCCTCTCCTGGCATCCCTATGTTTTTTTACTATAAAATTACATTTATCTTACCATAACATCATCACTCAGCTTATCAAAGCCCAATCTCTCGAAGGCTTTATCGTCTGGAACAAAGAATGTGTAATTGGCACCGGATACATGTGGTGCAATTTCAGCATTGTTTAAAAACCTGTAAACACAAATACAGAGAATTGAAATCATAAATCAAGGCATTACACACACACACGCACATACAATATCGATATGCACACACATACTCTATAGACGTACCTTGTGATTTGTGTAAATCTGGGATCTCGTTCCAAAGCCAAAAAGGAATGTGATAAAAACTGGGCACCAAACCATGGGAAGGCCAACAGCGGTGGGGTCTCTTTGTCCTTGTGCATCTAATTTTTGTTGTTGTGCATTGGAATAAAAAAAACAGTTACACCTATTAATATCGGACACACCATTTGTAATTCTCACACACCATTTACCTGATGCAGTTTGGAGACAACAGCCTCGGAGACAAACAAAACTTCGGATATGATAAACACTTGATTGCCATTGGACAGAGTGTAATCGGACATTATGGAAACATTGTTGACATTGGGTGCAGCTACAAGGGTGGTGTGGGGTGGGAGAATGAATATAAATCAAAGATTAGTTTGCTAATGTTTTGTTTCGATATTAAAAAGCTAGGAAGGATAGCATACTTTAGCACAGTGTTTTGAAATAGAAAAAAAACTAACAATTAAAAAAATCCTCTTTAACTGAATCGTTTCACAATTTCGAAGCAAAATTACAGGTTTAATTTTTTGCGATATTTCTGTTATACAAATTATATTTTAATTTCGCACCACTGTGCACTGCCAATACTGTGTGGTGTATTTTGTACACAGCACAGCTAGTTTTCATTTCAAACTTTCCACTTCCACTTGACTTTCATTGTATCCTCTCCTCCCTCTCTCCCTCATTCTCATACTTACGTTGTCCCCTAAACACCACACTCTCACCGCCCATTGTGCGTACCGCCATCTGATCCATATTCTTTACATCGGCCATACGCAACGGCCTTTGGGTGGGCAAGAAATGATTGCGCAGCACACTTTCCGTAAACTCCTGTACACTAAATGGATAGAAGCCCCAATCGATGGGATGCCAACGTTGAAAGGCATTGTCGGTGGGTATGAGAATTGTAAACGAGCCATCGTCCATTATTTGTGTCAGATTACTTTTCGAAAGGAAATGCTGGAAAACTTTTGTGCCACTTTTCATGCTGCCAAGAAATGACATTAGAGGACTGGCCTTTGACTCCTTAAGGATCGGTTCGTTCTTTGTGTGTGCAATGTTGCCTGTGGAGTTGCGCATCTCCAAACGTTGTGGTTCATTGTAACGGCTGTAATGCACAATGAAAAAAAATAGGAAAAGTAAGAAGTTGAACGTTCATGGTATACAATAGAAGACATTTAAGTTTGTGACACCCACATACTTACAAAAAAATTAAAAAGAGGATATACAAAATTATTCTAGATAGAAAAGTTGAAATAGCTTCTAAAGCAGAACATTTATTTATGGTTAAATTGGTTGTTTACTTCTTCTGCATGGGAATTTTTAATTCTGACCTAAAAGAAGAAAGCCCTCCTAAAAATATACTTTAATAAATCCACACCTCGTATAGCCCTTCTAAAAATATGCTTTAATAAATTCACGTATCTTTTAGCCCTCCTGAAAATATTCTTCAATAAATCCACGTCTCTTATAGCCCTCCTGAAAATATTCTTTAATAAATCCACGCCTCAGTTGGCCCTTTAAAAATATTCTTTAATAAATCCACGCCTCAGTTGGCCCTTGAAAAATATGCTTTAATAAATCCACGCCTCAGTTGGCCCTTAAAAAATATACTTTAATAAATCCACGCCTCAGTTGGCCCTTGAAAAATATTCTTTAATAAATCCACGCCTCAGTTGGCCCTTGAAAAATATTCTTCAATAAATCCACGCCTCAGTTGGCCCTTGAAAAATATTCTTTAATAAATCCACGCCTCAGTTGGCCCTTGAAAAATATTCTTTAATAAATCCACGCCTCAGTTGGCCCTTGAAAAATATTCTTTAATAAATCCACGCCTCAGTTGGCCCTTGAAAAATATTCTTTAATAAATCCACGCCCTCAGTTGGCCCTTGAAAAATATTCTTTAATAAATCCACGCCTCAGTTGGCCCTTGAAAAATATTCTTTAATAAATCCACGCCTCAGTTGGCCCTTGAAAAATATTCTTTAATAAATCCACGCCTCAGTTGGCCCTTGAAAAATATTCTTTAATAAATCCACGCCTCAGTTGGCCCTTGAAAAATATTCTTTAATAAATCCACGCCTCATTGGCCCTTGAAAAATATTCTTTAATAAATCCACGCCTCAGTTGGCCCTTGAAAAATATTCTTTAATAAATCCACGCCTCAGTTGGCCCTTGAAAAATATTCTTTAATAAATCCACGCACGTTGGCCCTTGAAAAATAGGCCCTTTAATAAATCCACGCCTCAGTTGGCCCTTGAAAAATATTCTTTAATAAATCCACGCCTCAGTTGGCCCTTGAAAAATATTCTTTAATAAATCCACGCCTCAATTGGCCCTTTAAAAATATTCTTTAATAAATCCACGCCTCAGTTGGCCCTTGAAAAATATTCTTTAATAAATCCACGCCTCAATTGGCCCTTGAAAAATATTCTTTAATAAATCCACGCCTCAGTTGGCCCTTGAAAAATATGCTTTAATAAATCCACGCCTCAGTTGGCCCTTTAAAAATATTCTTTAATAAATCCACGCCTCAGTTGGCCCTTGAAAAATATGCTTTAATAAATCCACGCCTCAGTTGGCCCTTGAAAAATATGCTTTAATAAATCCACGCCTCAGTTGGCCCTTGAAAAATATGCTTTAATAAATCCACGCCTCTAATCGTCCTCCTAAAAATATGCTTTAATAAATCCACGCCTCTAATCGTCCTCCTAAAAATATGCTTTAATAAATCCACGCCTCTAATCGTCCTCCTAAAAATATGCTTTAATAAATCCACGCCTCTAATCGTCGTCCTAAAAATATGCTTTAATAAATCCATGCCTCTAATCGTCCTCCTAAAAATATTCTTAAAAAAATCCACGCCTCTAATCGGCCTCCTAAAAATATGCTATAATAAATCCACGCCTCTAATCGGCCTCCTAAAAATATGCTATAATAAATCCACGCCTTGATAGGCCTCCTAAAAATATGCTATAATAAATCCACGCCTTGATAGGCCTCCTAAAAATATGCTATAATAAATCCACGCCTTGATAGGCCTCCTAAAAATATGCTATAATAAATCCACGCCTTGATAGGCCTCCTAAAAATATTCTTTAAAAAACCCACGCCTCTAATCGGCCTCCTAAAAATATTCTCCTAAAAATATTCTTTAATACATATTGAGCAGTTTCTTGTAGATCCGATGACCCTTGTTTTCTCTATTCAATTGAGAGAAGTTTCGATGGAATTTTTTTTTGTTAACGAACCACAATTCCAATACAACTATCATCAAAACTTAATTCCCCCAAACCCAACCCCTTGACAGAATGAAAAAAAATCCCTCAACAAATAATTTCACAACTTACCTATTACTGCCCTCCTGTATGTTCCGCTTCGAATACGGTGATTTTCGATCGCCCAAATAACCATCAATGGCCAGGGCAATTAAATTATCATTGATGCGGACACGATGCAATATCTGGAAGCCATTCAACAGCCACACCACATTGTTTGGTGATTTTTCCAATTTACGAAAGACAATCTTATGGCCATTACCATTGCCGTATGACGATGCGGATGATGACGCTGCAGTTGTTGAATCTTCATCGGCATAATTGTCGAATGCACGACCCGGTACCATATGCTCGAGCATAAACTCCTTGAGGCGTGGCTTCTCAATGGTGCGTACATCAATTTTGGGTATAATTAAAGTGAATGGTATATCTGGAAAGAGAACACGTAGAAGATTAAGAGAGAAAATGCATCATTATACCTATCATTATCCTTCTCATCATCCTTATGATTATTATCGAGGAATAATTAACACTTAAGAAAGGCTAATTGGAAATTAATTTGCTCTTACAGGGGGTTTGTGTTTTCAACGAATAATGTAAAATAATTGTTATTAAATTTCTTAATAATAATTTTTAAAGGATTCGAAAAGGATAGGAATGGATTTCTTAAAGAATATTCTTTTAAGGACCTCTACAAGGCGTGGATTTTTTTAAAGAATATTTTTTTGGGGCCTATACAAGGCGTGGATTCTTTAAAGAATATTTTTTAGGGGCCTATACAAGGCCACGCCTTGTTTTTTTTAAGAATATTTTTTAGGGGCCTACACAAGGCGTGGATTTTTTTAAGAATATTTTTTTAGGGGCCTATTCAAAGCGTGGATTTTTTAAGAATATTTTTAGGGGCCTATACAAGGCGTGGATTTTTTAAAGAATATTTTTTAGGGGCCTATACAAGGCGTGGATTTTTTAAAGAATATTTTTTAGGGGCCTATACAAGGCGTGGATTTTTTAAAGAATATTTTTTAGGGGCCTATACAAGGCGTGGATTTTTTAATGAATATTTTTTAGGGGCCTATACAAGGCGTGGATATTTTAATGAATATTTTTTAGGGGCCTATACAAGGCGTGGATTTTTTAATGAATATTTTTTAGGGGCCTATACAAGGCGTGGATTTTTTAATGAATATATTTTTAGGGGCCTATACAAGGCGTGGGTTTTTTTAAGGATTTTTTATTAGGTGATATTTTTAGCCTATTTTATTATTCCTGTCCTGGTTTGTCTAAAATTGCGTGCAATTGCAAACAATAAAATAGTTGTGTACTTTCCTTTGTGAAAATTGTTGACGTCTAGAAAAAAACTAGTCTTTCCTTGATTCATGAGATTGCATATATATGTGTGTATGTGCGTGTGTGTGTGTGGAACTGTGGTAGTCATTGTCTCAAGGAAGAAGCAGATAACCTTTCACATTTTACCTTAAAAATTCAATTATTGTGCAATGAATCACATTTGAAAAAGAAATCCTCCTGCTGTCTTCATTATTTGCAATGAAATGCGAATGAAAAGAAAAGGATTTGTCTTTGGCACTATTCAAGGAAATACTTTTTGTTGGGGAGGGAACTCGCAGACGAATATGCTCATTCTTAGCAAATAGAAGAATGTCTGAATGTCAGTTTGTTGCTGGTAATTTGCTTGCATGATTTTTTCTTTTCTTTTTTATACCCTCCACCATAGTATGGAGGGTATATTAATTTTGTCATTCCGTTTGTAACTCATCGAAATATTCATTTCTGACCCTATAATCAGGGTAAAATTCTAAGACGATCTATGGACGGACATGGGTCCGTCCATCCGTCCGTCTGTTGTAATCACGCTATGTTCTGAAAGAATTGAGATAGTGCGCTGAAATTTTGCATAGGTTTGTCTTTTGTCTGCAGGCAGGTCAAGTTCGAAGATGGGATATATCGGTCCACGTTTAGACATAGCTCCCATATAACAGTACCCCTCAATTTTCGGTATTTTGAGGTTCTTGAGTGCGGTTTTCAACCAAATACGACAAAATTTGCTACATTGGGTTCTTATGGGGTACTAAATGTCTCCACAAAAAATTATAAATATAGATCCACTATATCTGGTAGCCCCCATATAGCGGTACCTCCTAATTTTCAGTATTTTGGGGGTTTTGATTGCATTTTTCCACCGAATTTGCTGTAATTTAGTATTTTGAGTTCTTAAAAGGTTTCAAATGTATCCACAAAAGATTATTAACATAGGTCCATTTTTTCGGATAGCCTCCATATAAGCGTACCTTAAATTTTCGGTATTTTGGGGTTCTTTAGTGCGTTTTTTCAACCGAATTCGCCGCAATTTGTTATTTTGTAGTCGTATATGGTAACAAATTTCCCTACCAAGAATTTTTAATATTCGCCCCCTTTTTGGGTCGTCCCCAAAAGGTTCGTTAATTAACCATTTATATATTCATATATATGAATTTTAACCCGCATTTAACCCTAGCAGTTATGTGGGAGGTACCAGAAGGAGTGGATCGATATTCCCCATATTCGAACTTCAATTAATTTTGGAAGAAATAATACGATGGGCAAAGTTAGGATGAAATCACAATTTTATGAAACAAATTTGGTCCAAAGGGGTCTAGGACCAATATTTAGAACTATAATCGGTTTGTAGAAATGTCGGTATAGTTACACTTTTTGGTATTTTTATTTCAACTACCTGTCAGCATATCTATGGTGGAGGGTATCCAAAGTTCGGCCCGGCCGAACTTAACACTTTTCACTTGTTCTTCTTTCAAATGTCTAAAAGCCTTTCATTACGAATTAATGATTAAAAAATAACAAAGAGAAAGAGATGAACATTAATGAGTGGATAAATGCCAAAGGTCAGGAGAACAGTTGTTGAAAATTATTTTGAATTTTTTACGCTACCCAAACTGTGTTGGAATTATACAAATAATCGTTAATAAATCCACGCCTGATGTGGTCCTTGAAAAAATATTCTTTAATAAATCCACGCCTGATGTGGTCCTTGAAAAAATATTCTTTAATAAATCCACGCCTGATGTGGTCCTTGAAAAAATATTCTTTAATAAATCCACGCCTGATATGGTCCTTGAAAAAATATTCTTTAATAAATCCACGCCTGATATAGGTCCTGAAAAAATATTCTTTAATAAATCCACGCCTGATATAGGTCCTGAAAAAAATATTCTTTAATAAATCCACGCCTGATATGGTCCTTGAAAAAATATTCTTTAATAAATCCACGCCTGATATGGTCCTTGAAAAAATATTCTTTACTAAATCCACGCCTGATATGGTCCTTGAAAAAATATTCTTTAATAAATCCACGCCTCTAATGGTTTTGTATACATACATATGTACATATGCACCCATAAAATTCTTGTATGGTCTGTTAGCCAAAAAATTATTCTGCTCTGCCCGTTTAGGCTATGTGCCACGAATTTTAATTAAACCTGAGGTCCCATAGACAGGTACTGCCATCCATCCTAAAAACAATGGAACCAAACATAAATGTTTTGCAATTTTTTTATTTTTTTGGCTTTGTTCTTATTGTTATAATTTTTGGATCATAGCTGAATGATATAACCAAAAAAATAAAAAACAAAGTGTTTAATAGAGAATGGAATGTTTATGGAAAACCCCAAACCACGACACGTACAAGTACTGCTGCCGAAAGAGAAAGAATGTGTGTTTTATATTAGAACACACCTGAAATGCGGTGTGAATTATAATTAATTAAAGACCCGCCGCCAAGCAACAAGATCCACCGAACGACCGACAGACCAAGCAGACCAACCAAGTAACTCCAACCGCAATTAAATTGGCCTAATCCTCATGTGGCACGTACATGACAAAATATGTGTTGGGGAGAAGGTGTGAGTTTCGTTGGCAGCCGGCAATCGGGCATTATGTTATCATTTAAATGTAATGTGATGATGACGGTAATAATAATGATGATGTTTAAAATTCATTATGAATTAAATGCTGCCGGAGGTTAGGGGAATATTAAATTTGCCAAAACATGCAATTTTTTTTCATTTGTTTCGAGTTGTGACTTGTGTTAAATTTCTAGACGGATATTCTTGAATGAATATCCAATTCAATATTTATTGTGCAATATTTTTGGATGATTACCTATTGTTATCACGTAGAACTCCAACAAATTATTTTGTAATAATATTTGAAACGGATTTTCGTTAGAAGCCTTACAGTCATCACAAAAATATTGACCACTGGATGAGCTTCTTTAAAATTCTAAATAGGTACACCAAAATACCCTCATTATTACCGCATTGACGATCGGTATGTGGTTTAATATCGAAACGTCACTAATTTTAAATGGTGTAACCCATGAGTGGTAACACATGATTCACACTTCTTGTGTTCGACTTGAAAAAAAAATATTCTTTAAAAAATCCACGCCTCTATCTACTACTTAAAAAAAATATTCTTTAAAAAATCCACGTCTCTATCTAATCCTTGAAAAAAAAATATTCTTTAAAAAATCCACGCCTCTATCTACTACTTGAAAAAAATATTCTTTAAAAAATCCACGCCTCTATCTAATCCTTGAAAAAAAAAATATTCTTTAAAAAATCCACGCCTCTATCTACTACTTGAAAAAAATATTCTACTTGAAAAAAAAATATTCTTTAAAAAATCCACGCCTCTATCTAATCCTTGAAAAATATTCTTTAAAAAATCTACGCCTCTATCTACTCCTTGAAAAAATATTCTTTAAAAAATCTACGCCTCTATCTACTCCTTGAAAAAATATTCTTTAAAAAATCTACGCCTCTATCTACTCCTTGAAAAAATATTCTTTAAAAAATCTACGCCTCTATCTACTCCTTGAAAAAATATTCTTTAAAAAATCTACGCCTCTATCTACTCCTTGAAAAAATATTCTTTAAAAAATCTACGCCTCTATCTACTCCTTGAAAAAATATTCTTTAAAAAATCTACGCCTCTATCTACTCCTTGAAAAAATATTCTTTAAAAAATCTACGCCTCTATCTACTCCTTGAAAAAATATTCTTTAAAAAATCTACGCCTCTATCTACTCCTTGAAAAAATACTTCTTCAAAAAATCTACGCCTCTATCTACTCCTTGAAAAAATATTCTTTAAAAAATCTACGCCTCTATCTACTCCTTGAAAAAATATTCTTTAAAAAATCTACGCCTCTATCTACTCCTTAAAAAATCTACGCCTCTATCTACTCCTTGAAAAAATATTCTTTAAAAAATCTACGCCTCTATCTACGCCTCTATCTACTCCTTGAAAAAATATTCTTTAAAAAATCTACGCCTCTATCTAATCCTTGAAAAAATACTTTTCAAAAAATCTACGCCTCTATCTATTCCTTGAAAAAATATTCTTTAAAAAATCTACGCCTCTATCTACTCCTTGAAAAAATATTCTTTAAAAAATCTACGCCTCTATCTACTCCTTGAAAAAATATTCTTTAAAAAATCTACGCCTCTATCTACTCCTTGAAAAAATATTCTTTAAAAAATCTACGCCTCTATCTACTCCTTGAAAAAATATTCTTTAAAAAATCTACGCCTCTATCTACTCCTTGAAAAAATATTCTTTAAAAAATCTACGCCTCTATCTACTCCTTGAAAAAATATTCTTTAAAAAATCTACGCCTCTGTCTACTCCTTAAAAAAATATTGTTTAAAAAATCCACGCCTTGTAGAGGTCCCTGAAAAAATATTCTTTAAAAAATCCACGCCTTGTAGAGGTCCCTGAAAAAATATTCTTTAAAAAATCCACGCCTTGTAGAGGTCCCTGAAAAAATATTCTTTAAAAAATCCACGCCTTGTAGAGGTCCCTGAAAAAATATTCTTTAAAAAATCCACGCCTTGTTGAGGTCCCTGAAAAATATTCTTTAAAAAATCCACGCCTTGTGGAGGTCCATGAAAAAATATTCTTTAAAAAATCCACGTTTGTTGAGGTCCCTGAAAAATATTCTTTAAAAAATCCACGCCTTGTGGAGGTCCATGAAAAAATATTCTTTAAAAATCCACGCCTTGTGGAGGCCCATGAAAAAATATTGTTTAAAAAATCCACGCCTTGTTGAGGTCCATGAAAAAATATTCTTTAAAAAATCCACGCCTTGTGGAGGTCCATGAAAAAATATTCTTTAAAAAATCCACGCCTTAGATAGTCCTTGAAAAAAATATTCTTTAAAAAATCCGCGCCTTGTAGAGGTCCCTGGAAAAATATTCTTTAAAAAATCCACGCCTTAGATAGTCCTTGCAAAAATATTCTTTGAAAAATCCACGCCTTAGATAGTCCTTGAAAAAATATTCTTTAAAAAATCCACGCCTTAGATAGTCCTTGAAAAAAAAATCTTTAAAAAATCCAAGCCTCTGTTGTTGCTAGAAAATGTTTCCTTTAAAAAAAATATTTTGAAAAACTTCTTTTGTGGTACCTTAAATTTACTTAGCTATGGTTCGGATACAAAATGTAGTACGTATAAATAAGAAATGTTCTTACCCCTCTGTGGCTTATAGCCATATATCTCCAACACGGGCAGACCATCCTCCATAAAGCGTCGCACCTGTTGCCAATTTTCATCGTTAATATTTATGGTTTGATCGGCTGGCAAAACATTCACGTCCGGTATGAATTTACTTTCAATTAATTTAATATTTTTAAGATTCTGATCGATTTGTAGAACTGAGGCCGAAGCCACCGAGATCACGAGCAGGGACCAATGGAGCCACATTTTCGTTACGAAATATCGATAATTATTTTGTTTAATGTCCGTGGGCGTTTTTATCCCTTAAATCGTTGCGATTGAAATGCAATTTGATGGCACGATTTTTCTTTGTTTATATTCAATTTTTATTTTGTTGAAATATTTTTTTTTTTTTTTTGAAGATATGCAGATTATTTTTTATTAAACATTGTTTAGTAGTTTTTTTTCTAATTTGTTCACTTTTTGTTTTTTTTTTGCTTTTAAAGACGGAGATCGTTTTAGTAGATTGCTTTTGTTTTGTTGTTGTATAATTGGTTGATTATATTTTTTTCTTGTCGTTGTTGTTGTTGCTGTTGTCTTCAACTATTTACATTATATTCGTTATTTTTTGTTGTACACTGTTTTTTTAATATTGCCACGAATTGTCTAAACTGTAAGTTGCAATTAAAAAAATAATAAATACAATTTTTCTTTGATTAAATAATCATTCGATCGGAATCGATTGGAAATTTCATCTCGATTACATTAAATTTGTTCTCCCCCACCTCCTCCTGGTTTGGTGTGTGTTATATCCGCAATTGAATAATACAACCCGATATGGTGGCGACTTGAAACTTGAGTAAAGAAAGTAAAACACCTCACATGGCAAGAAGACAATGAAAGAAATCGTTGCCCCATAGACCCAGTCTCTTTTTTGGTAGATCAGGATATTGTTGACCACATTTTAAATAACTAGGCCACTAGGCTTCATAATTACAAATGATTGTTGTTGTTGTGGACTAAATTTTTTAAATATATTTTTTTGTTGTTGTCACATATAATTACATCACTGCAACATTCCCAAAACCCCTCTCAACCCCCCTCAACCTCCTTGAAATCGTGTAAAATGACATTTTTGTAATTTTCCAGAAAATGTAAAAATATTGTTATGTTTGGAACTTGTTTTTGTTTCTAATTACGAAATGACAACGTTGGAGTTTAATGCTCCCGCATTTGAAAAACAATGTCTCGTTTTTAGGCTTGTTTTTACCGTAAATGCTAAACAATGTTATTTTTGTTGCAAAACGCTTTTGGTTTTGAAAAGTGACAATTGTGGTCTATGGCCTGACAATGTTGACGTGTGATGCAACAACAACAACAACAGCAGCAGCAGCAAATGTTGTGCAATTGGAATTCCAACACAAAAATGCATAACAACTTACAATGCAAAAAAACAAATAGCGAAGTAAAAAATTAAAAGCAGTGAGAGCAGTATAGTCGGAATGGGGCGATACCCTATAAACTGAACGCTGGGATCTAAATTTGGATCCTGGACTTAGTTTATCCATAAAAAGGGGGGGGGGTTTGAAAATTCCATATGGGGATGAAGGCCCTTGGCCTATAACCTGATCAGGCCTATCACCTGATGAACATTTTGTTTTTCGCTCTCTGGGGGAGATTTTCTCTTGCTATGGAGATTTTCTGCCCAATGAGAATCCAAAATATTAATTTGGAGCCACTTCATATGAAATATTTGAATTATCGGTGTGTGTGGGCGAGCAAGAAACTTGGATCAATATTGAAAATGTTTGCTAGAGAGGTTTTCTACCCAATGAGAATCGCAAAATTTCAAAATAGAGCCAATACAAATATTGTAGTCTGTATGGAAAAAAAGTCCGTCACTACAAGAAAAATCTGCTCGGAAAAGGAATGTTCCGGTGTGATGCCAAATGTCCGAACCTTGACACGGTTGAATTTAATTCGTAGATGCAATTTCGCAACAATAGTCGACATAAATACAACTTATCAAGTAAGCCACATTGCCCAATATGCCTGATGAGCAGCTTAACCAACGGAGAAACGCGTCGCATAGTGGTGGGAATGTAGTATCTCTCTGGCTTTCCTTTTCATTGCAACTCCGATCATGTAGCTCATCTTGAAAGAGAAAGTAATAAAAAACAAGTGAAAAAGCGTTAAGTTCGGCCGCGCCGAACTTTGGATACCCTCCACCATAGATATACTGACAGGTACTTGAAATGAAAATATAGGGAATATACCAAAAATGGACCTATACCGACATTTCTACAAACCGATTATGTAAACAATAATTTTTAATAGAAAATTATACCCTCAGCCTTATGGCTAATTAGTGTGTATACACTTTCACACGCTGAAAATGTGCCTCATCGAAATATTGGTTCTAGACCCCATATTTCTTTGGACCAAATCCGTTTCAGAAAAATTTGATTTCATCCCATCTTATTATGTCTTCCAAATTTAGTTCAAGTCCGAATTTGTGGAATATCGGTCCATGCCTTCTGGTACCTCCCACACAGGGACTACGGCTAAGCCTAAATGCGGGCTATAGTTCACATATAGTTCATTATCGATCCGTACTTTCTAGTTTTTTACCTCGATATCCTTCTCAGGTGAAATGATTTCAACAGAGTGTTAGAACCACTGATCAAGAATATATATACTTTATAGGGTCGGAAATAAATATTTCGGTGAGTTACAAACGGAGTGACAAAATTAATATACCCTCCATACTATGTTGGAGGGTATAACAAATGAATAATATTTTATATGGAAATCGTGAATACTGTGTACTTTGTTGTACTATAATTCCGAATTCCACCTCTATACTCTATACATCTAATATCATTTTTTTACCATTTTTTCATACACATAAGCACTAATTTCTGAAATCTCATTCTTATCTCTATTATACAGATTCAAAAGTGATCACAATACAATTTATGTATTTTACCAAATACGCGTTTCACATTTAGTTCCATTCAGAACTTTTTGAACACATAAGTACAGTAAATGTAGTACCAGTTAGTACTTTTATACTTATAAGTATGATTTTTTTTAACTACATCAATACTACACATACACTCTACCAGTAATGAAAAATCCTGCAAAGTCCAAACTGTACCAAATTTAGTACTTTATGTATTCATAAGTACGAATTTCCAAAACTACCTCAATCCTGCTTTCAAATAGTAGTCGCAAGTTCAAATTTAAGTACTCCAGCTCTATCTGTCCACTAAAATCCAAATTGTGCCAGATTTGTGTACCATTCTGTAATTTTCGTACTCATACTCCAAACAGTATGACAGTAATCTTAGTAGCAATTCTCAGGATGTCAGTTCTACCCGTTCACCAAATTCCAAATTTTACCAAATATAGCACATTTCGTACTCATACGTACGAATTTCCAAAACTACCTCAATCATGTATCTAGCCGTGAAATTTGAGGTTTCTATTTCTATCCCTCCAATTAAATCTATATTGTACCAAGCTTAGTACCCTTTTGTACACATACATTCAAAAAGTAATTTTAATCTCAAATTTCTGAATTCCAAAACATGTACAAAATCTAGTACAGTTTAGTACTTTTCGTACACATAATTACGAATTTTAAAAGCTGTCTTTAAAGCTCAATCCTCAACAGTAATCTTAATTCCAAATATCAGGTTTTCAGGTCTATCCGTTCACTCAAAATCCAAATTGTACAAAATGTAGTACCTTATTATTTAGTACTTTTTACAACCATCAGTACGAATTTTCTAAACTACCTCAATCCTACACTCCAACAGTCACTTTAATTTTTAATTTCAAGACACCAGCTCTATCTGTTCGCCTACATCAAACTTGTACGAAATTTAGTACCATTTAGTACTTATCGTACACATAAGAATGATTTTTTGTAGCTACCACAATCCTGTATTCTAAAGTAATCCTAATTCCTATATTCAGGATTCCATCTCAATACTCTCAACTTTTTATACTGGTTGAGAATCAAGCCCAAACTTATCAAAACAATGAAATGAGGGCGGCTACCCCAAAAGATTGGACAAAGTACTAAAATGTACTAAATTTGGTGCAATTTCGTAGCATGTGAACGTATAGAGCTAAAAACTTGAAATTTGGAGGGCAAATCAAGGTTGAGAAGTACTGTCTATTTAAGAAGGTGGTCTTGGAAGTGTGTACTCATGTATACGAAAAGTATTATATGGTACTATATTTGGTACAATTTTAATTTGGAGGTGTGAATGGAGCTAAAAATTTGAACTTAACTGTCGTAGAGTAGGATTGGGATACGTATGTTTTTTTTTTTGACAATTGTTTACTTAAGTATACGAAAACTAATAGATCGTACAGAATTTGGTACAATTTGAATTTTAGGTGAACCTATAAAGTGGAACCATGAAATTTGGAGATAGGATCATTGTTGAGGTGTAGAATTGGACTATTTAGGATGTTTCGGAAATTTGTACCAATGTGTACTAAATTGTACAAAATTTGGATTTGGGTGACCGATAGACTTGGAATCTTGAAATTTGAAGTTAGGATCACTGTTGGGAAATAGGATTGGATATGTAGGAAGATTTGGAAATTCCTACTAATGTGTACTAAATTTGGTACAATTTGCATTTAAGTGAGCCGATAGGGATGGAATTCTTAATCAGGAAATAAGATCTTCATTGGTTGTATGATATATGTAGTTCTTACTTATGTGTACGAATTTGGTACAATTTGAATTTTGCGTAAACCGATGGGGTTGGAATCCTGAAATGTGGATTTAGGCTCACTGTTGGGGTGTAGGATTAGGGTTTGTGGGAAGTTCTGAATTTGATGTTAACATGATGTTCTACATTTGATATAACATGGATTTAGTTGAGCAGGAATCCCGAAATATGGAATTTACATTACGGTAACAGTGCAGGATTGGGATATATCGGTAGTTTTGGTAATTTATGGTACTTTATGGTACAAAAAGTACTAATTTGGTACTATATTTGATACAATATAGATTCGGGTGAACCGGTAGAGCTGGAACACTGAAATTTGGAAATAAAATTACTATTGCACTGTAGATTTGAGGCATGTAGGTAGTTTTGGAAATTCTTACTTATGTGTACGAAAAGTACTAAATGGTACAATTTGATTTTTGGATGAACCCTATCGGTTCATCCTAAAATTTGAAGTTAGGTTTACTGTTGGGATGTAGTATTAGGGTTTGCAATAGGTTTTGGAAATTTGCACCAATGTGTACTAAATG